AAAATGAGTAAAAAAATATAAATATATTTAAAATCCCAAAAATCTAAAAAATTTTGACTTAACTGAGAATTGATATCATAACTCAGAAAATAATGACGGAAACTTAAATATTTTTCATTTTATATTTATATGAGTAGGTTTACACAAAATGTGTCATAAAAATAAAATATTTTTAAAATCCCAAAAATCTAAAATATTTTGACTAAACAGAGAATTGACATCATAAACTCAAAAAATAATGACGGAAACTTAATTTTTTTCATTTTATGTTTATATGAGTAAGTTTACACAAAATGAGTAAAAAAATAAAATAAAATCCCATAAATCTAAAAAAAACTGAGCTTTGACATCATAACTCAAAAAATAATGACTAAAACTTAAATTATTTTTCATTTAATGTTTATATGAGTAAGTGTACACAAAATGAGTCTTATAAATAAAATATTTTTAAAATCACAAAAATCTAAAAAATTTTGATTAAACTGAGAATTGACATCATAACTCAAAAAATAATGACAGAAACTTAAATTTTTTTTCATTTTATGTTTAAATGAGTAGGTTTACACGAAATTAGTCAAAAAAATAAAATATTTTTAAAATCCTAAAAATCTAAAAAATTCTGACTAATTCACATCATAACTCAAAAAATAATTACGGAAACTTAATTTTTTCATTTTATGTTTATATGAGTAAGTTTACACAAAATGAGTCAAAAAAATAAAATATTTTTAAAATCCCAAAAATCTAAAAAATTTTGACTAAACTGAGAATTGACATTATAACTCAAAATATAATGACGGAAACTTTAATTTTTTTTTCATTTTATGTTTATATGAGTATGTTTACACAAAATGAGTAAAAAAATATAAATATATTTAAAATCCCAAAAATCTAAAAAATTTTGACTTAACTGAGAATTGATATCATAACTCAGAAAATAATGACGGAAACTTAAATATTTTTCATTTTATATTTATATGAGTAGGTTTACACAAAATGTGTCATAAAAATAAAATATTTTTAAAATCCCAAAAATCTAAAATATTTTGACTAAACTGAGAATTGACATCATAAACTCAAAAAATAATGACGGAAACTTAATTTTTTTCATTTTATGTTTATATGAGTAAGTTTACACAAAATGAGTAAAAAAATAAAATAAAATCCCATAAATCTAAAAAAAACTGAGCTTTGACATCATAACTCAAAAAATAATGACTAAAACTTAAATTATTTTTCATTTAATGTTTATATGAGTAAGTGTACACAAAATGAGTCTTATAAATAAAATATTTTTAAAATCACAAAAATCTAAAAAATTTTGATTAAACTGAGAATTGACATCATAACTCAAAAAATAATGACAGAAACTTAAATTTTTTTTCATTTTATGTTTAAATGAGTAGGTTTACACGAAATTAGTCAAAAAAATAAAATATTTTTAAAATCCCAAAAATCTAAAAAATTCTGACTAAACTGAGAATTCACATCATAACTCAAAAAATAATTACGGAAACTTAATTTTTTCATTTTATGTTTATATGAGTAAGTTTACACAAAATGAGTCAAAAAAATAAAATATTTTTAAAATCCCAAAAATCTAAAAAATTTTGACTAAACTGAGACATTATAACTCAAAATATAATGACGGAAACTTAAATTTTTTTTTCATTTTATGTTTATATGAGTATGTTTACACAAAATGAGTAAAAAAATATAAATATATTTAAAATCCCAAAAATCTAAAAAATTTTGACTTAACTGAGAATTGATATCATAACTCAGAAAATAATGACGGAAACTTAAATATTTTTCATTTTATATTTATATGAGTAGGTTTACACAAAATTAGTCAAAAAAATAAAATATTTTTAAAATCCCAAAAATCTAAAAAATTCTGACTAAACTGAGAATTGACATCATACCTCAAAAGATAATAACGGAAACTTAAATTTTATTTCATTTTATGTTTATATGAGTAGGTTTACACAAAATGAGTTAATAAATAAAATATTTTTAAAATCCCAAAAATCAAAAAAATTTTGACTAAACTGAGAATTGACATTATAACTCAAATAATAATGACGGAAACTTAATTGTTTTTTCATTTTATGTTTATATGAGTAAGTTTACACAAAATGAGTCAAAAAATATAAATATATTTAAAATCCCAAAAATCTAAAAAATTTTGACTTAACTGAGAATTGATATCATAACTCAGAAAATAATGACGGAAACTTAAATTTTTTTCATTTTATATTTATATGAGTAGGTTTACACAAAATGTGTCATAAAAATAAAATATTTTTAAAATCCCAAAAATCTAAAATATTTTGAAAACTGAGAATTGACATCATAAACTCAAAAAATAATGACGGAAACTTAATTTTTTTCATTTTATGTTTATATGAGTAGGTTTACACAAAATGAGTCAAAAAAATAAAATATTTTTAAAATCCCAAAAATCTAAAAAAACTGAGCATTGACATCATAACTCAGAAAATAATGACTAAAACTTAAATTATTTTTCATTTAATGTTTATATGAGTAAGTTTACACAAAATGAGTCTAAAAAATAAAATATTTTTAAAGTCCCAAAAATCTAAAAAATTTTGATTAAACTGAGAATTGACATCATAACTCAAAAAATAATGACGGAAACTTAAATTTTTTTTCATTTTATGTTTTAAATGATTAGGTTTACACAAAAGTAGTCAAAAAAATAAAATATTTTTATAATCCCAAAAATCTAAAAAATTTTGACTAAACTGAGAATTGACATCATAACTCAAAAAATAATGACATTTTTTTTTCATTTTAGGTTTATATGAGTGTTTACACAAAATGAGTAAAAATATAAAATATTTTTAAAATCCCAAAAATCTAAAAAATTTTGACTAAAGAATTGACATCATACCTCAAAAGATAATGACGGAAACTTAAATTTTATTTCATTTTATGTTTATATGAGTAGGTTTACACAAAATGAGTCAAAAAATAAAATATTTTTATAATCCCAAAAATCTAAAAATTTTTGACTAAACTGAGAATTGACATCATAACTCAAAAAATAATGACATTTTTTTTTCATTTTAGGTTTATATGAGTGTGTTTACACAAAATGAATAAAAATATAAAAAATTTTTAAAATACCAAAAATCTAAAAATTTTTGACTAAACTGAGAATTGACATCATACCTCAAAAGATAATGACGGAAACTTAAATTTTATTTCATTTTATGTTTATATGAGTGTGTTTACACAAAATGAGTAAAAATATAAAATATTTTTAAAATCCCAAAAATCTAAAAAATTTTGACTAAACTGAGAATTGACATCATACCTCAAAAGATAATGACGGAAACTTAAATTTTATTTCATTTTATGTTTATATGAGTAGGTTTACACAAAATGAGTCAAAAAATAAAATATTTTTAAAATCTCAAAAATCTAAAATTTTTTGACTAAACTGAGAATTGACATCATAACTCAAAAAATAATGACGGAAATTTAAATTTTTTTTCATTTTATGTTTATATGAGTAGTTTACACAAAATGAGTCAAAAAATATAAATATATTTAAAATCCCAAAAATATAAAAAATTTCGACAACTGAGAATTGAAGACGGAAACTTAATTTTTTTTTTCATTTTATGTTTATATGAGTAGGTTTACACAGAGTCATAAAAATAAAATATTTTTAAAATCCCAAAAATCTAATATTTTTGACTAAACTGAGAATTAACATCATAACTCAAAAAATAATAACGGAAACTTAAATTTTTTTTCATTTTATGTTTATATGAGTAAGTTTACACAAAATGAGTCAAAAAATATAAATATATTTAAAATCCCAAAAATCTAAAAAATTTTGACAACTGAGAATTGACATCATAACTCAAAAGATAATGACGGAAACTTAATTTTTTTTTCATTTTATGTTTATATGAGTAGGTTTACACAGAGTCATAAAAATAAAATATTTTTAAAATCCTAAAAATCTAAAATTTTTTGACTAAACTGAGAATTGACATCATAACTCAAAAAATAATGACGGAAACTTAATTTTTTTCATTTCATGTTTATTTGAGTAAGTTTACAAAAAATGAGTCAAAAAAATAAAATATTTTTAAAATCCCAAAAATCTAAAATTTTTTGACTAAACTGAGAATTGACATCATACCTCAAAAAATAATGACGGAAACTTAAATTTTTTCCATTTTATGTTTAAATGAGTAGGTTTACACAAAATTAGTTAAAAAAATAAAATATTTTTAAAATCCCAAGAAACTAAAAAATACTGACTAAACTGAGAATTCACATCATAACTCAAAAAATAATTACGGAAACTTAATTTTTTCATTTTATATTTATATGAGTAAGTTTACACAAAATGAGTCTAAAAAATAAAATGTTTTTAAAGTCTCAAAAATCTAAAATTTTTTGACTAAACAGAGAATTGACATCATAACTCAAAAAATAATGACCGAAACTTAATTTTTTTTTCATTTGATGTTTATATAAGTAAGTTTACACAAAATGAGTCAAAAAAATTTTTTAAATCCCCAAAATCTAAAAAATTGACTTAATTGAGAATTGACATAATAACTCCAAAATAATGATGGAAACTTAAAAATTTTTTTCATTTTATGATTATATAGCTTGTACCAAATAAATTAATCCAAAGTAAAGAAATATGCTCCTATAATTCATATTTTTTTTTAATTAAAATTTTTAGTCTGTTACGTCATCTAACGGAAATATATTTATGAATTTTTAAATTTATTATGGGTGTTATATTTTCTATGTAACATCTGTTCTATACATATTTTTAATTAATGAACTACTCTTTCTTCCATATTCTATTTTATTAGATAATTTTAATTTTGGATAAATTTTACATAATACAAATACATTATTTATATTTTTAAAATATAATTGATAGTCCATAAATATATTTATACCTGTTTATTCTATTTACCTGTCCATTCGCAGTTTAGTTACACCCATCAATCACTTTATTTTTGGGGATGATTTCTGAGCAAGTGAAATATGAACGAAGATGAATTAATAGGAATATTTTTTGCAGTATCGGGTAGTAGGGGTGATAGAATTTTATTTAAATACCCATATTTCTCACTGAACAATTGTATTATTTGCGCATTTTATTATATAATTTATGATAATAAGATTACTATGACGATATAGACAATGATTACCATGCTATTGAATATGAAGAAATTAGTTCAATTATATTAAAATCAAGGTGGATTTACATTTAAATTTATTTAATTTCTATATATAATATAGATATCGCCGATTGCATGATTACAATTCTTCTAAAACTAATCATAAGTAGATGTTAATGAGTTTTTCATAATAACTTTTTAAAGATTTATTGATCTCCTGCTTGCAACTTTTTTGTGTGTGAAGTCAGAATCATATTTTAAACTATTTGAAGTTAAGATTGATGATGTAAATTATGTTGGGTATCCATTCTTGCTGAAAATTGAAATGCCTGAAAACAAAATCCAATCCTTTAATATAGTTTTTGCATTTAAAGTTATTATATACAAATATTACTATCTTAAAAATATAATTAAGACATTTGAAAATACGAAGAAAACATTTTTAAGTAATAATTATCAAATGATAAGTAAAAACTTGGCTATAATCTTGCAAAATAAACAATTTGAAAATGAATATCTGACAAATAATATTAGAAAGATGTTTCATATAATTGATGAATATTCTGTTATCAAGGATTGTAACTCTTTTATAGATTTATAATAATAAAAATTTAAAATATAGGTGAAAAATTAGAAAACATAAATCCTTATAAAATTATGCTTGATCAAAATGTTAATATATGCATTGTTATTAAGGACATTTATGAAAATCTATGTAAAGACAAGTGTTTTAATATTAAGATTGAAAACACTTTTTTTAATTTATATATTCCACTCAATATCAAACTTGCAAACAGTTATGATACTGCTCAATTACCCTGTGATGTAAATTATAAATAAATTCTGTTACTAATTATATTTTTTTAGAATTTAATAAAACCCTTTCATTCCATTTTACTCAATGATAATATTTCAACAAAGAAACTCTTATATCAAAATATGTCTTTAAATTTTCTTAATTTATGTGTTCCAACCAAGAGTTTATACAAAATTTCTATAGAAGCAAATATATCATTAAATTATGTATTATAATGTTATATATTTTCAATTCATAAGAACTGTAATGCTCACATTATTATATTGGATACTGTGATTTTAGCTCCTTTAAGATTTTTTTTTTTAATTAAAAAATTTTATATAATGATATTTTATATATTTGATTATAACAATATATGATTGGGCAGACTTATATTTATCCTGATCCTGAACAAGACATGATCTGGTTCAATTTATGCTACCCTTAACATCTTGGAGCATATTTGGTATAGTTTTATCTTTCAAAAAAATTTAAATAATTTTTTCATAATGATAAAAAAAATTATAACAAGTTATTTGAAAGAAATTATATTGAAAAATTAAATAGGCCTAAAAATAATGATTAATAATGAATATATTTTTATATTTTTGAACACTTTTAAATGAGAAAAATATATTAAAATGATCTTATAAAATAAGATGAAAACTATCAATAAAAACCTTTACAATCCCGACTCAATAATTTCCATAGCAAGAGACTTCGAATTTCCAGACTCAAATGGCTTAGCAGTTAATGATCTGTGAGATATAATACATAAATATAGCTAGCTTTTTGATTTGAGCTTACTTCAAATAGAGGATGTCTAAAGATATTTAAATGATATGATTACATGAAATAGTTTCAAAAAAAATGACATGCCTCTTCTGAAATATGATTTAAATGGATTTTTGCAATTAAAATTTAAGTTTCCTTGGCAACATATTGGCAAAAATTACATTTGATAGAATATTCCCTAGGTTAAAAAATAATTTGAAATTATGATTGCATCATTATATAATATATTCTGAGAAGAACATTTTTAATAACATAACAGAAGTAAAAAAGAAACTGGGTACTTAAGTAAATTGGATTTAAGATCAATGAACAATCAGCAACGATTTAAAATTGATATAAATTTCAGGACAGTTTGAATTAAGTAATAAGCATAAGCCGAAACTAGTTTTGTTAAACCGTTTGTTTTCAGACTATTTTTAAAAACGCCTCAATATTTTGGCCAAAATAATGCCTAAGCCCCTAGATGTCTAGACTTATGTGCCATATATGGGCAAAATTTTCAGGCTTGCGTAATATTATTCTGGATTTAATATTGAGTTAGCCGTTTTTGAAAATCGACTCAAATCGAGCTGTTTAACAACACTAGCCTAAACCTTACATTTTGAATGCTTAAGGACCATTTTGATAATGGGGCAGGTTTAAGGGAATTCATTCAAACGATTTCAGGATGTCATCTCTTTATATATTGTTAAATATCAATATGTCCTCGACCAAGTACTGAACCGATCAATTCATATAACGACATGAAGCAAATTACATCTTCCGGCAAGATCGATATCTATTTACAATCCATACTGAAATAATCATAATATCAGTTTGCAACTATTTTCCAAATATCAATCTTATTAAAAATATTTGAGGTTTACTCAATCGAGAGTTTAGAGCAGCGATATTGAAAAAGGATTATTTAAAAAATAAATTAGGGTTTACGAAAATCCTAACTTTTTACTCTATTTGATAATTGTATTAAGTCAATAATTCCTTATTGTACGAATAATAAAAACATAATTCCTTATTTGTACGAATAATAAAAACATTCGATTCTTCGAATATTTGATTTGTAATGTGATTTCTTTAAAAATATTTTAAAGATTGCAAAATATATCATAAATAAAGTTAAAAAATTAATAATTGTTAAATTCTCACTACTAATTTCGAATATCTATAAATGATTTCGAATATTTACAAATAATATCGAAAATGTGATTTTCATTGTTTACCGATAATTTTGAAAATTTACGAATTATTAAAATAATGACTTATTTTTAAATAATGATAATGCTATTATTTACATTATTCAGATTATCCTTTTAATTTTGCCAAATAAGCCTTCGTTTGATGACATCTGTTTTCCTGTTAGCAATATTTAAATTTATTGAAATTTTTTTTACCATAAATATATTTTAATATTTACCCATTTATATAACCTTATCTTAATATATGAATCTGAGTATATAATTTATAATCATAAAAATTTAATGTTTGATTATTTTAATTTAATTAATTTGTTTTTTATATAAACTGGAATTAATATTTACAATTATAAACTGCTTCTTATTAATCTTAGTATAAGCAATTGAATCAATACCCACTAAAACATGAATAATTATAGTATGGAGATTTTTTTATCTCCTTAAATTTTAAACAAAATAAAAAAATTTATTATTACATGGAAACATTTATAATAATAAAATAATGTTTTATTATAAAAATACAGAGTTTTTAAAGTATCCAGATACAAGTATCTAGATATAAAAATGTTTTATCTGTATCTAGATATATTTTTGGTTAAAGTATCTGTATCTAGATATTATTTTAGACGCATCTATATCTGTTTTTAGATACTTTTAAAGATACATTTTGATATACTTTTATTTATCGTTTTTTATATTATAAACAAAAATACTTGAATGCAAAATTTATTTTATTTCATATGAGCATATAATTTAAATATATATATTAAAAAATATTTAGATTACTCTAATAAAAAATTATGTATATATAAAATATTAAAATATATAAAAAAATAGATATATATTCTAAATATTATGTCAGAGTTTATCGATAAACCAGACAAATTTTGATATTACAATGCAACTCAAGAAATCTGCCATTTTAATTTTCAATGGAATTAGTTAATTTTATTTTATTATACTAATTTTAAAAATTTATTTTAGATTAATATTAATAGTGATGAAGAGGAAGAGGAAGAAGTAATGATCAATAAAGCATCAACAAGTTCAGACATTGTTTTCAGGGCCAATTTATAGAGCATATTTTAAAATAATATCTCAAAATATAAAAAACAAATCTCTGATAGTAAAATGTTCGCCATATCTATAAAAAAATACGAAAATTTCAGTTAGCATTACCTCAACTTGCAACATTGTAAAACATTTAAGGGTATAGATACTAAATAAAATGTTTAAAATTGTAATTTTCAATTTTAAGAGAAAAAATCAAACACTGTTAATGAAAATACAATTAATAGAAAGATTAGATGATGAATTATCAATATCTTCAACTGATAACAAATAACCTGCAAAAAAAAAACAATTAATTTAATATTTTTCAGTACCCCGTAGCAGCAGATATGATTGTTAATAATGATTTAAATTTTGATACTCAACAAATTTTAAAAAATTTTTTCGAAACTGAATTCCCAGATTTTATATTTTTAAAGAATATCCTGATATAAAATTGTTATTCATATAATATAACACCACAATCCTATCAAGTGCCCCAGTAGAAAGGCTTTTTAGTATAGCTAAAAATGTCTTTACGGATTAACGAGGATGCCTTAAGAATCAAAATTCTGAAAATATTTTATTACTGAAATCTAATAATTTTTTATAATCATTTAATCATATATTTTTATATATTATATTAAAATCAAAAAATCATTATTTTAATTTTGATAAATATTATGATATCTAATCAATAACGTTTTTATCTCATTTCATACATTTTCACAATAGAATCCTAATTTAGGTTTATGCAATTATATAAGAGTATTAAAAAATTGTATCTGTATCTAGATACATTTTAAAATTGTATCTGTAACAAGATAACTTTTTAGACTATGTATCTGGATCTAACTTTTTGACGATGTATCTGTATCTGTATCCAGATCCATTTAAAAAGTATCTTTTAACTACTCTGTAAAAATATAACCTAATCATTATTTAAAATACAACTAAAAAAGATAAATGATTTAAATCGCGATTTCAAGAAAATTATTGATTTAAATCAATTTATTATAATCATTAAAACTTTAATGGAAATCAATATCCCAGATATTAATTCAATGCCACAAAATTGATATGGTTATAAAGACTAAGGGTGCTGTAGCAAAATTTTAAATAGCGATGCTAAGATAATGATATAGCATAGTATAGCATAAGTCTGTCAGTTATATATTTTAAATCATATATTTTAAATAATATTTGAGTGTTTATGATTATTTCTTAAATTGGAAATTTATTTTAGCCAAAAAGTGAAAGCAGGTCAATATTGATGTATCGGGGCCGGCCCAAACAAATTTAAGAACATATATTTTAGATGCTCGTTGGGCCAAGCCTTGTTTTCAATATTTCCATAAATTTAAGCTTGGCATTGACACCAAAAAAATAAAAAGTTAAAAGAACTATTTTTTTGCCATTGATAGATTTTAGATGTGATTAAACAATTGGTTCATTTGGGTCAATGTAGAATTATATATCCATTGTGTGAAACTAATATTTACGTTATAACTCCACAAATTACCGAAATATTGTAATTTTATTGGCAATTTTTTTAAATTTTAATTCTTATATATTGTTTGTTTAAAGGAATGCATCTCTAATCGAAAAGTTTAACAAACAAATAGACAGCAATACCAATCTTGTTCATATTTTAGAAATATTTTCACATCCCTTTACTCTGATTTATCATTATAATATTGCACACAGTAAAAATTTGTTGGCCAAATTTACTCAGGTATAATTAATAAAAATAAATTTGTAAAAAAATATTGAATAATAGAATTTTTTTTATATTTTAAATAGATATGATTCTTAACCTCTAAAGTGGTAAAGTGGGGTTCATATCGAATGCGAATAATAAGAATTTTTCAATTTTCGATAATCATATATTTAAGTATAAGCAAATAAATATTCATATAGATTTTTTTTGAATTTAAGTCACTGTGATAAAATATCTTAATTTTTCGCATTTGCTTACTTTACAGTATTGATTTTTTTTATTGCCATTAAGCCTAAAACTTCATAAGAAAAATTATAACAAATCTAAGTGGTAGGTTTATGCTGTCAAAAGGAGAGGAATCGTTTATTCTATAATACAAATGATTATCAAAAATTCGGTGGCCCAAAAATTTTGAAAATTGTTTCAACGGGAAATTGGAAATATGAGCAGTAAATGAATATTAAAGGCTTTATTATATGATTTTCCAAATGATTAATTGATATAATTTAAATTTATTTTTTAAAGATCGGTCCAATTTTAACACGAACTTGTTTTTATTTTCTTTAAATTCAAGCCCTTTCATATAATTAAAATCATACAATTTTATGGCCTTATTGCAACTATACTTTGGGTCCTCAGAAGATCATTAATATGAGATTACACATGCGTCTCTCCATTCCCCTTTAAATATCAACATCAATCCGCTACTTAAGCAGAAACCAGGATATAATACAAAAATCTCAACCTTTATTCCAATAGTCTCTTCCACAACGATTTTTCGCCATTAACCTAAACTTTATAAAAAATCTTGGCAGAAAAATTTGACATACCTATAAAATGACAAAGAATATTTATATATTAGTCAAAAAAACAAAAATAGAAATCTTTAAATATAATGCTTACTTTTTGGGAACACAATTATGTAATTGTATTTATTTTTATAATACTTTAGTTTTATAGTGTTTTAATATTCTAGTGTTATAATATTATGATAGGAATTTTTAATAAATAAATTAAAATTAGTTTAAAAAAAATTTAAATAACGTTATTTTATCTCATAATATTTTTAAAGAATACATCCTTATTATGATTAATTATATGATTTATAATGTCAATAAATCATTTTTTATAAATAAATTAACCCTTCTTAAAATCGCACTTTTTTCATTCCATGCATAAACATTTTTTTAAAAAAAGGCTTGCTCATACAAATAAAATACATAAGAATTTTGTAAAAATTTTTAAGTCATTTCCTAAGCATCGAATCTTAAAATATTTGTATTCATCTAGCAGTTCTACCAGGAGGGAGGGGCTTTAAGACACAAGTTCATTGGAAGAAGTAGGGAGTAGTAATGGCGTTATCATCATTCGGATAAAATGGGTTGGCTAAACATGTATGTTATTATCAGGGGGGGGGGGGGAGTATGCAAATTTTTTTTAAATTTCTTTTTTGTTGATATATAATTTGAATTTGTTTGGAGGGGGTGTGGGTAATATCGTTATTAACTTTCCGAATTTTCGACCCTTTCTATTGTAGTCACCTCCAAGACATTCTAATATTATTATCACAACAATTCTCTTAAGTTTCCTTCATCCAACAGTTTATCAAAATGTCATCTTTTCCAAATTAGGCACTTCAAATAAGCATTCTCTTTTTTTTATCCATTATCGTTATTCGTTGAATGCGTCTTTTCTTTAGATTTGGCAAACCTCAATATCAATTTGCACATTGATTGATGGATTGGAACAAAATAATTGATTCACAAAAAGAAAAAAAGATCATTAAATAAATTTAAAAAAAAAGAAAAATATAAATTTTTATATTCTAATTAACATTTCCCTCTTTTTTTAAATCTCTTTTTTCCTCAGTTTCTTCCAGTCATTCGTCTCTCAATTTCTCCATTAGTCACTTGTTCAGATTGTTTGTTTGACCATTTGATTCTTGATTATCGAACATCTTTTATGAAACATCGTTGGTTGAACATCATTGTTGAAACGTCGTTGGTTGAACATTGCTAGTAGATTTGCTGTTCGTATTGACCATCCCATTTCTCTTTTAAAATTTTATATATATTTTTTTTTACAAAATTTTTATTTATTTATAACAATCATTTTCTATGTCGTAGGTCATATTCTCGCTTTTGAACTTGACTTTGTATTTTCGAATTTTGTTGAACTTGAACTTGTTCACTTCTTCCCCCTCTTAAAATTTTTTCAGTATTATCTATCGATGCTCTCTTCTTTATTTGATCCAAATGTCTCCTAATTATATGATGTCCATTGTCTATTCTGTACGTTACGTTTCCTTCTTTTTGTATTACCATTCCTTTGTCCCAAATATTTTCTTTAAACGTTTTCTACCAAATTTTCTCTCCTACATCTATATCTCTATTGACCGATATTTTCCTCTTTAATATATTTTCTTTTTCTTCCATTGGTTTGATTAAATCCCATTTAGTCCTCATTGTTATTGAAAAATCAATTTGCTAGGTATCTTGTATCATTAGGCGTGTTTCTATAATTGAACAAAAATTTTTCCATCGCAATGTCCACATCTATTTTCTTGTTTTTTTCCATGTTTCTTTTCATGCTCATTTTCATCGTTCTTATCAAGCGTTCACATTGCCCATTTGATTGTTGGTGATGCGGTGCTGTGAGTATGTGATCTATTCCATGATCTTCACAAAATTTTTTAAATAAATGGCTGGTAAAATTAGTACCATTGTCCTTAACTATTTTGTATGGTATTCCACTAACGATTCTCATTAATTCTTTTATCGTAGATTCAGTTGTTAAGTTTTTCATCCGTGTTATTATTGGAAATTTGCTATATGCATCAATAAATACCATAAAGTTGTCATTTTCAATATTTGCGAAGTCTATATACACTCTTTCAAAAATCTTAGTTTCTTCCTCCCAGGTGTTTTGTATGTTATGTGGGTTATCCGCCTATTTATTGCATGTATCACAATTTTTCACCTCTTGATCTATTTCTGTGTTAATACCAGGCCACAACAAGTAATCTCTTGCTAACAATTTCGTTTTGCCTGCTCCTAGATGTCCCCTGTGTAATTCACGTAAGATCTCCTTTCTCATGTTCATAGGTATTATTATTCTGTTCTCCTTAAAAAGACAATCTTTCACCAAGCTCAATTCTATCTCCATATTTTTGTATGTTTTATTTTTAATCGGATTGTCTTTCCTAATATCATCAATTATTTCCATTAATTCTTCATTCCATATTTGTTTCTTTAACTATTCTATTGAAGTTTATTGGGATGTCCCATAATTTGTCATCAATTTTTTTATCTTCTATATTCTTTATCGCATTTTCAATATTTGTTAATGGCAATCTTGATAAACAATCTGGCACCAAGTTCTGTTTCCCCGGTCTATGTATTATTGTGTAATCATAAGCTCCCATTGCTAAATTCCACTTTTGTAAACGCATTGATATTGAAGTATTCTCTTTGAGTGTATTTGAAAACAAATATATTAGCGGTTTGTGATCTGTTATTATCGTAAATTTTGTCCCAATTAAATGTTCTTGAAATTTTTTCACAGCATATATTATAGATAGAGCCTCTATTTCAATATTCGTATAATTTGTTTCGGCTTTTAATAAAGTTCTCGACGCAAATGCTATAGGTTTTTCTTTACCATCACCTTCAATGTGAAATAATACTGCACCTAATCCTTTTTTCGAAGCGTTAGTAGCAATTCCTATAGGCAATTCAGGATTGTAAAAATTTAAAGTTGGCGGACTACTAATCAACGTTTTCAAACCTCAAAACTCTTCTGATGTACTTCTTCCCATATCCACTTCTCTTTGTTTACAATTATGTACAGCGGGTCTGCTAAGTCTGCAAAGTTACACAAAAATCTTCTGTAATAACTGGTCATGCCTAAAAATGTTGCTAACTCCTCTTTTGTTGTTGGTTTTGGCATGTTTGTAATGGCTTTGATTTTGTCTTCATTCGGATGTATGCCTTTTTCATCTATATAATGTCCCAAAAATCTTATCTCCTTCCTCATAAACATACTCTTGTTGAAGTTTGGTGTCAATCCATTTTTGTAATTCTTTTGTTATTAAATCAAGTCTTTTATATGGAACGCGTCTTGGTGGTATAATTTTTGGATTAGCATCTTGTTTCAAATGTAATTTAACATCACTACGATATATAGGTTTTTTATTAATTTTTTGAATTGCATTTTTTTTTTAATTTTTCTATCCTATCATTATTACTTTCCTCGATTAGATTCACAAATTTATTAAGTATGTTTCCAAAAACTTTTATCCACGTTCTTCCCAAAAGTGCACTCTTGTCACCTTCGACTACATACGCATCTAAATTTTGAGTTTTGTCTTCATAACTCACTTTTATATGAACGATTCCTAGCACCTTAATTCTTTTCCCATCATAGGCAGTCAGTTTCGTATCCGATTTATTTAAGACTTTGATTCATATCTTTCTAGCAATATTAATCGGCAATATCGAAAATCGTGTCCCAGTATCGATCTGCATGTCTATCGGTATATCGTTAAGGTATATCGTAACTTTGTAAGCATCATTTGCCCTGTCATCTTCTTCCATATTATTCACATCAATGCTAAATAAACTGTGTTCCTTTTTATCATTATTTTCCTCCTTTATTTCTTCTATATCGACGGTATTTATATTATTCGAATATCTGGATAGATTATTATTATTGTCTCTATATCTATTGTAGTATGTCTGATTATTGCTACGATTATTATTGTATCTTGGTATGTATCTTGATTCGTTTTGATGTATATAATCTCTATAATTATTTTCATTATATTTGTAATTATCATTATTAATATATCTATAGTTATTGTAGTTATTATTATAATTATTTTTATTGTTAAATCTTATAAAATTATTATACGGTCTTGGCCCATTATACTCCCTATTATTATCATAAACTCTAGGATTATAATTATTCCGATATCTTGGCTCATAATTATTTGCATGTCTCGAATTAAAATTGTTTTGATATCGAGGATTAAAATTGTTTTTAAAACGAGGATTGAAATTATTCTCTTGATAATTATTTCTTTGATAACTATCGTATCTAGGCCTCCATTGATATCTATGTACGTAATTCGTTGGTGCATCCACCCCTCTATTTCGATCATCGTATTTTATCATTCTTCCATCGGTATCCGCCTGATTTTCTTCATTTCTATTTGTTTAATTTCGGTTGTGTCTCCTTCTATTTTTATATTATCAATTTTATTAATTATTTTGTCATAAGCTTCTTTTTCCTCAATCTCCTTTCCTATTTTTATTATCTCTATTTCACATTGAAGGTGATGGTAAAGAAAAACCTATAGCATTTGCGTCGAGAACTTTATTAAAAGCCGAAACAAATTATACGAATATTGAAATAGAGGCTCTATCTATAATATATGCTGTGAAAAAATTTCAAGAACATTTAATTGGGACAAAATTTACGACAATAACAGATCACAAACCGCTAATATATTTGTTTTCAAATACACTCAAAGAGAATACTTCAATATCAATGCGTTTACAAAAGTGGAATTTAGCAATGGGAGCTTATGATTACACAATAATACATAGACCGGGGAAACAGAACTTGGTGCCAGATTGTTTATCAAGATTGCCATTAACAAATATTGAAAATGCGATAAAGAATATAGAAGATAAAAAAATTGATGACAAATTATGGGACATCCCAATAAACTTCAATAGAATAGTTAAAGAAACAAATATGGAATGAAGAATTAATGGAAATAATTGATGATATTAGGAAAGACAATCCGATTAAAAATAAAACATACAAAAATATGGAGATAGAATTGAGCTTGGTGAAAGATTGTCTTTTTAAGGAGAACAGAATAATAATACCTATGAACATGAGAAAGGAGATCTTACGTGAATTACACAAGGGACATCTAGGAGCAGGCAAAACGAAATTGTTAGCAAGAGATTACTTGTGGTGGCCTGGTATAAACACAGAAATAGATCAAGAGGTGAAAAATTGTGATACATGCAATAAATAGGCGGATAACCCACATAACATACAAAACACATGGGAGGAAGCAACTAAGATTTTTGAAAGAGTGTATATAGACTTCGCAAATATTGAAAATGACAACTTTATGGTATTTATTGATGCATATAGCAAATTTCCAATAATAACACGGATGAAAAACTTAACAACTGAATCTACGATAAAAGAATTAATGAGAATCGTTAGTTTATTTGGAATACCATACAAAATAATTAAGGACAATGGTACTAATTTTACCAGCCATTTATTTAAAAAATTTTGTGAAGATCATGGAATAGATCACATACTCACAGCACCGCATCACCAACAATCAAATGGGCAATGTGAACGCTTGATAAGAACGATGAAAATGAGCATGAAAAAAAACATGGAAAACAACAAGAAAATAGATGTGGACATTGCGATGGAAAAATTTTTGTTCAATTATAGAAACACGCCTAATGATACAAGATACCTAGCAAATTGATTTTTCAATAACAATGAGGACTAAATGGGATTTAATCAAACCAATGGAAGAAAAAGAAAATATATTAAAGAGGAAAATATCGGTCAATAGAGATATAGATGTAGGAGAGAAAATTTGGTAGAAAACGTTTAAAGAAAATATTTGGGACAAAGGAATGGTAATACAAAAAGAAGGAAACGTAACGTACAGAATAGACAATGGACATCATGTAATTAGGAGACATTTGGATCAAATAAAGAAGAGAGCATCGATAGATAATACTGAAAAAATTTTAAGAGGGGGAAGAAGTGAACAAGTTCAAGTTCAACAAAATTCGAAAATTCAAAATCAAGTTCAAAATTCGAAAATACAAAGTCAAGTTCAAAAGCGAGAATATGACCTACGACATAGAAAATGATTGTTATAAATAAATAAAAATTTTGTAAAAAAAAATATATATATAAAATTTTAAAAGAGAAATGGGATGGTCAATACGAACAGCAAATCTACTAGCAATGTTCAACCAACGACGTTTCAACAATGATGTTCAACCAACTATGTTTCATAAAAGATGTTCGATAATCAAGAATCAAATGGTCAAACAAACAATCTGAACAAGTGACTAATGGAGAAATTGAGATACGAATGACTGGAAGAAACTGAGAAAAAAAGAGATTTAAAAAAAGAGGGAAATGTTAATTATAATATAAAAAATTTATATTTTTCTTTCTTTTTAAATTTATTTAATGACATTTTTTTCTTTTTGTGAAATATATTTTGTGCAAAAAGATATCGTATTTGTATATGTAAAACGTTAAAATAACTTTTCTTAAAGTAATCTTAAAACAAATTGTAAATTGTAACTTTTCTTAAAGTAACCTTAAAACAAATTGTAAATTGTATATAAGTACTAAAATAATAATATATATAGTTGTAAAATTTTCAATATCTTTAATAGTAATAGTAATAAAAATAAAGATAAATTAAATATTAGATTTAAAATAAATTTTTTTCTTTTTCTTTACCTGCCTTCTATGAAAATAACAGTTAAGGTTAACGAAACCCTTTAATATTTCTCCAAATTTCAGGAAAGTAGTCAACTTTGGTCCAGATTGGCCGGCAAAATAATTAGATTCAATTTAGTTTCTAAATTTAATCATCTGAATGCACCCGATCATTTTTTGAATTGTGGAGCAGTATGGAACGGGTTCGGTTGACATTTACTAATATAGTGTAAAAGTATCTTAATTCCACCAGATAATTTATTTAATTCTTTTACCAGGCCACCTAATCAATATGTTTTGTGATTTATTTTCAGAATAACTATTTAATATTATTTAACAACTCTACTCCAGATCAATTAATTGTTTGTTAAATTTAAATTTTAGGATGATAGAATAAAAATTATTGTATGGCTGATACGTCATGAATTGATTATTCAATTGCATACATATATTTACCTCAAACCAAGTTCCGGGAGTTCAAATTATGAAGAAAAGTTTATTTCACCGGCACCGAAATCTCAAATACAAAGTAAACTATATTTTACCTTACATTATCAAATTTTTATATATAATTGTGTTATTTTTTTAAAAAAAACCATTTTTTACAAAATAAGCCAACATCGTTATAAATCTTAATTAATTGGGCCAAAAAGTGATGAGGAAAATAGCAATAAAAATAATATCCATTTTTATAGACAAATATTTCGTTTATGCATAAGCATAAGCTATTCTATAAAATCAATAATTAAAATAGAAATCTTCAAGGCCGGGCCGAAAAAATTTTTAAAAAAAATCCGGGCCGTGCAAATGGTATAGCTGCCTGTTTCTGAATTAAAGATTGTTATAGTGATACATTATATATATTTTTTAAGTGAACTATCGATATTAGAATGAGATTCAAAATAATCTTGTAAGCATATTGAATTTTTAGTATCTTTGAATGAAAGCACAAGTTATGAGATGATAATTAGTTAGGTGATTATTAAAATTTAATTTTATAAATTACTCATTGAGAATCTTAATTGTGAAAACTTTTTAGAATTTTTATAACTATGTTTCAAATCAGATTTAATTATTTTAAATAATAACACCAAAATGGAAACTTTTTGATAACATTTGGGCGACACCAAAAAATTTTAACAAAATAATATAAATTTAAATATAAATATAAGTATAACTTTCCAGGCAATGATATAATTCAGCAATTTAGAACCGAGCTTTCTTTATATAATACTATGGGATAAATAGTTAAGTAAGATAATTTTTGATTTCTAAAGATATATATTTGCGGTAAAATGTGACAAATATATTATAACCGGGCCTGGGGAAGCGATACGCTTCATCTATAACCTTCCATTCTATAATAACGGATATTATTAATTTCATCTTTAAACGAACTGGAGGAACTTATCCATTTTTTAAAAAAGTTTAAATATGAGCTAACTCAAAAGATTCATGAAACATATTACTGTATTTTTAAACTGACTTGACTTTGAATATTTACCATAACGGATCCAATGTTTATATTAAACCTATATATTTATAAATTTTCTACATATTTTATAATGTTATTTATTTGCTTATTTTTATTTAAAAATTTTTTTTTTCTTGTAGATTTATATTCCAGTGAAAAAGAGGTGTCTCAAGATGTTATAAATACTCTGCGCCCCGCAAAAAAATATACCATGTTATTTAAAAAGTATGAAATATAAGTGGTGTTAATTAGCATTCTTTTCTTCAATTCTTAACTACATCCGGAAACCGGGATAAATCTAGAAACCAGAACCTGGAGCCCTTTTTAAAAATTTTTAAGTACCAGAACCCATTTTAAAATTTTCAGGAATCGATCTACCAAAAATGCAAGTAATTTTATATATATTCTTTAAAATGTCGCGGTTAGGGATGTACCATTTTTATCGCATCGAGCCGATGTTTCATCTTTATTAAATATCAGTTATCGGCCTATATTATAAAGTTTTACGATCCGATAAATGGCATCTTAATTTTTAAAAAATTGCATCTTATATAAATAAGATATTATAAATTTTTTAAAAAAGTTATAGATGTTATACTATTAAAAAGTGTCTGAGATGATTAAATGTATGCATAGAAATTAAAACGATGTATGCTTACAGAATACAAATCAGATATGATATCGGATCGGTAAATGTCCGTTATCAATTTAATATCAGATCGGCGGCACCCCTAGTCGTGGTGATTCATTTTAGAAGGTTTAGTTATTAAAAAATTTTGGTTTCTCTAATAGAGTATGGAACCGGAACCCCGTCAAACTTAGGAACCGAACCAGAATCCTTTTTCGTTCTGGTTCCAAACTTTGACTATATATCATACAATTGTTATTATAAAAAAATTAATGATGCACCTATATTATTCTAAATTTTTTTAAAAATCATTTTGATAAATGGAAAGAAACCCTTAATATAAAATAAAATATTTTTGTAAACCGTATTTTCATTAAATTCTATGTAGACTACTTTTTTAAAAGTGAGACAACTGCACGATTTGCGGATATTATTGGATATGCAGGCTCATGATAACCCAACCTTTTCAAATTTACATGCTTGTAACAGACTTATATATATCTAATTTGAATATATAGTATTCTGCGTTATAATGTACAAATTTTGGTTATTAATGAAGTTTTACTATCTTAATAAATTTATAAATTTTTAAAATTAATTTGAATACCCAGATCTTTATTGTATTCTTTCTATATATAATGCGGTACACCCAATATTTTATTTTGGAATCCTTCCGAAAATGGCTGGGGGTATATCTGTTCATTAGGTTCCAGATTTTAGTTCCGGTTCTAAACTCTGGTTTAAACTTAGCTTGGACCCACCCTTGTAATACAGCATTGGCGTTGCTTGTTATGAACTAATCTTAATATTCAAATTTCATTAAACCAAGAAGAGTATTATGATAGTGGAGACCGGGGATGGTTGGGATGCTTTTCGTTCAAGGATGAATAATTTCAATAATATTAGAGTAATCTGAATAAGTAAAATATCTTGTGAATCCTAAAAATATAGGCTATTTGAAATAATTAATATATAGTTAATAAAGACTATATTTTTTAAAAATTGAATTAAAAAAAATTTTTTTTTTTGTTTTAACCAAGACAGATTCTATGTACTCCAGGACACACATATGTGATAATTGATCCACTCATGAAATAGAAGTCATAAATTAAAAAATTAAAATAAGCATTCCAGTAAGACTAGATACTATAACACATTTGATTTTATTGATAATATTGTAATTCATAACAGTCGCCGGGGTGGCCCAGTGGTGTATGATGTATGCTTGGAAACCGAAGGTCCCAGGTTCAATCCTGGTACAAAAACTAAAAATTTTCAGGTTTTTCTTCGATAGCGGATGTGTATAGACATTATGATATGATAAATTTCTGAGCTGAGAAATGTCACCCCGGTTACCGACAGGCTTGGACAGCCGGGTGCTAGTATACTTGTCCAATAAACCATATAAGACGACCAGCTGAACTCTTGGGTCATTAAAGGATGATAACGATTTCTTGGCCAGGGCTAGGATAATGGTGACCTCGGGGGCCGTTCAAGCTCAATGTCTACCAAGTTACAATGGACTTGATAGCAATACTCCGGTGGGAGATCCATCGGGATTGATACTCTGGTGGGAGATAAAAATTTCGATAAGAATACTCCGGTGGGATATCTGTCGATTTGATACTACGGTGGGATATCTGTCGATAGCCATACTCTAGTGGATCCAGAGAGAATCGATCAGAAATATAAATTAGATAAAAATAGATAGCATGAATAATAAAGTGGAGAGATATTGGAGCTTACCACCAGAAAAGGTGAAAGCTAAAAAGAAAAAAAATTGTAATTTATAACAAATAACTGTATAAAAAAAAATTTCGTAAAATTTGGGAAATTTATTTTGGTAAAAAGAAATTTTTTTAAACATAAACATTTAATTACATGCACGTAAAAAATTATCAAATTTGGCACAACTTCCATGTTCTTTCCAATACAACCCATGCATTGGTACCCCCTGTGACATATAATGCAAATATTTACATTTATTTTTTTAATATTTGTAGTAGATCTAGACTACTTTTCATTTCCCATGTTATTACCCAGTGATATTAAGTTTTTTTAATATTTTATCCCTACTTTTTTTATTATTTATTTTTAATAATTTTCTTATAGGGTGAAGATGTAAATATTTCTGTTTCCCTTCCATTGTTGTCTATATTTCTCACAAGCTCGGGAAGTGTATATTCTCAATATAAAATAAATTATCTTCTTAATATTGACTTACATCATTATAATCTGAGTGGTTGTAGCCTCTTGTTGCTCTGAGGCCGGTAAGGTGTTATCTAAATTTACAGGGTTCGAAATATTTAATAGTTCGGGTGGGTGATGATTGTTATAATGTTGTCTGTCTATTGTCTTTAAAAATTATGGGTAAATGATCACTTTCTTCGAATATATCAGGATCTCAAATGATTTAACAATGTTTTTAATAGTTAGGGCGAGTGGCAATATATTTTTTTTACTACTTTAGGAGCCATAAATAGTAAATAATTTATTTGGTTGCTTCCAGAGCCTACGAAATGATTAAAATATTTTTTTAATAGTCCAAAAATGCACTTGTCATGAGGATGAATTTTATGAGTTGTATGGAGGTAATGATAGTAAGATAATGCCTGATTTTAAGCAAAAATCAATAGCACCACAAATTGGTGCGACCTATGATTGTCTAGAATCAATAACACAGGCTTTTCAGGTAGTGGCATCACATGATCTACAAAATGTTCTAAATAATTTATAAATTTTTATTCTTGTATCCAACCTGACTCATTTAAGCTGCCTATACAACCATTAGGTTCATATCTTATAAAATGGTCAAAAAACTTTTTTTGGTAAAAGGAACATAGGCAGGGTGGCATTCCCTACATCAGTAATAGCTAGAACATTGGTATTAGGGTTCCACTCTTAGCGGATGCCATAACTGCAACTTGCTTTTGAGACCTTTCCGAGCTATTATTTTACTGGGATTTTGGATGTTATTCCACTTTCATCCATATTGTATATTGCTGATGATGAAAACTTATATTTATCATGCTACTTGATAGGCCAATTCGTTAACCTAAATATAATGCATAATATAACAAAAGTATTTAAATTTTTATATTTATAATTTTTAAAAAAATTTATGAATTAATATTTTATATGCCTTATTAAGGTAAAAAGCCCTTTATAGGCTCAATAAAATAAAGTTTTATTAAACTCTTGTTTATAGATTATAGTAATATTATATTTTAGAATATAACACATAGAACAATATATTATAGTTAATAAAAATTTATTTTATTAAGGCCATTTCCAGACAGAACGTTTTTTCAGAGCGATATTTGAGAAATGTTACCAGCAATTTTTTATTTCCAAACAAAGGATACTAACTTGAAGAGTTGTTAAAGTATCTAGATATAAAAATTGGGTATCTGTATCTAGATAGATTTTTGATTAAAGTATCTGTATCTAGATATTATTTTAGAGGTATCTGTATCTGTTTTTAGATACATTTTGACATACTTTTATTTAACGCTTTTTTATATTATAAATAAAAATACTTGAATGCAAAATTTATTTTATTTCATATGAGCATATAACTTAATATTAATATATAAATATTAAAAAATAATAAGACTACTATAATAAAAAATTATAATATATAAAATATTAAAACTTATATATAAAAAAAATATATAAATATTTATTAAATTTTATGTCCGAGTTATCAATAACAAGCAAATTCATATATTTATTACAATCCATCTCAAGCCATTTTTATTTGCAATGGAATTGGTATTTTATTTTATTATATTAATTTTTGTTCTAGATTAATATTGATGAAGAAGATGGTATAATCAATGACGACATTCTTCCATGGCCAATTTATGGACCATATTTTAAAAATAATATCTCAAAATAAAGAAAACAAACCTCTGATAGTAAAATGTTTGCCATGTCTACCAAAAAATACGCAAATTTCAGTTGGCATTACCTCAACTTGCAACATGATAAAACATTTAAGGATATAGATACTAAATAAATGTTTACAATTGTAATTTTAAATGTTAAGAGAAAATATCAAACACTCTTAATCAAAATAAAAAGGTGGTAGGAGAAGAAATCTAAGAAAATAATGGACTAGGCTCATCGTCCATTGATATTTTTTCCAAGAGACCTCAGACTTTAACCCAAACCACTTTAGATGATTTAATAACTGATTTTATTATAGATAGCATTCTGCCATTTTCAATTATTGAAAATACTTCATTTATAAAAATGATCAAAACAAACTCCACAAAAAGATATAATTTGCCAACAGACAGTGGTTGTTAGAATTTCCCAAAGATGGGAAAATGAAAAGAAAGAAATCATAAAAAGTCTAATAGAACCATCGCCAATGTGCACAACAGCAGATTGTTGGAGTGCCTATCGTTGGTATAGCTAACATTTAAATTTGTATAATAATTCAATTACGAACAAATTATTTGAGCAGTTTTAAGAAATGTTAATTTTTAGTTCATACATACAAACAAGTTTGGAAAGAAAAAATGTCTTTACAGATTAAAGAGGATACCTTAATGATCAAATTTTGAAAATATTTTATTACTGAAATCTAATAATTATTTATAATCATTTAATCATATATTTTCATATATTATATTATTTTATTAATGAAATCTAATAATTATTTATATTAATCATATATTATATTAATATCTAAAAATCATTTAAATGCTATATCGAGTCAATAAATTTTTTAGCTCATTTCATGAATTTTCATAATAAAATTCTAATTTAGGTTTATTCAAAGCTTATATAAGAGTATAATAAAAATTGTATCTGTATCTAGATACATTTAAAATTGTATCTGTATCAAGATAACTTTTTAGAAGCTATATCTGTATCCTAGTTAAATTTTTAGACGATGTATCTTTTTCTTATCTAGATCCATTTAAAAAGTATCTTTTACCAACTCTGCAACTTGTTTAATTTTTTTATAAAAATAACAATAGAGAATCACATTTCGAGGCCATTTAATCGTTATTAAAATCAAACCAGTTTGTTTTCTAATTAAAAAAATAGGGATCGGGATTGCTTTTTTTAAAATATCATATATAAAAAAATTAATTCGACTAGTTATTTTTTTTTTGGATAACTGGTAACATTACCCAAAAACCGCTTTGAACGTTCTGCCTGGAAATGGCTTAAGCCTATAAAGGACTGCAATATAGTTATGGTTATTAAATATTTAGAACCCTGTAGATATAGCTAATAACACCTTACCTGCCTCGTAGCCACAAGAGGCAACAATCTCTCAAGATTATAATGGAAGTCAATAATTTATTTGTATATTGAGAATATATATCCACTTCCTGAGCTTGTGAGAAATATAGACAATAAAAGAAGGAAACGATAGAAATATTTACATCTTCACCCTATAAGAAAATGCTATTACCAAATTTTATAATAAATAAGTAGAGATAAAATAACAAAAAACTTATATTACCTCTGGGTAATAACACAGGAAATGAAAAGCATCCAGATTGACTACAAATATTAAAATAAATAATGAAAATATTTACATATATGTCACAAAAAATATAAAAAAATATGAAAAGGAAGATTGGTATCAATTGAGTTGTATTGGATGGACATACGGGATAATTTTTTTTATTAGCATTAAATATAATTAAATACTTATCTTTCACTATGTTTATGTTTAAAAAAAAAATTTTTTTTACCAAAATAAATCTCTTAAAATTTTATGAAATTTTTTTATTATGAATTACAATATTAACAATAAAATCAAATGTGTTATAGTCTCTAGTCTTACTGGAATACTGATTTCAAATTTATTTAGGTTCTATTTCATGAGTAGACCAACTATCACATATGAGCGTCCCTAATTACACAGAATCTGTAATGGTTAGAACAAATAGATTTTTTTTAAATTCAATTTTTAAAAAAATATAGTCTTCAAATATATATTGATTATTTCAAATAGCCTATACTTTTGAGATTCAGGATGTTTTACTCATTCAGATTAGTCTAATATTATTGAAATTATTCTGGTTTGAACGAAAAGTGTCCCAACCATCCCCGATCTCCCCTACAATGACTTTATACTGCATTGCTGGCTTTATCCATGGAAAATTGTTTTTGGTTTATACGTGTAATTAACGTGTTAAGCATTATCCTAAAAAATATTATGATTTGAACCAATGCCGAGCTCAAAACCGACCATTTACTAAATATTCGATTATAGTTAATTTATTTTTTAGATTAATGGGATATTTTAATGGTCTATTTCATATTGAAGAGATTATGTTCCTGGAACATATTAAAAGATCGACATTGATGTCCTGCCTTGAAAACTTTAAGGATTCGCTTATATTTATAAAACATTATGATGATAAATTACGTTAATTTATTTATAGATTATTTTCATATTTAAAATATTATTATAAAATTCATTCAATAATTCATACTCGTACATACAAATGGGTGTTAAAAGGTTTTTTAGAAATATATTTTGGCTTGTTCTAATTAAATTTATCGTTCTGAAAACCCTTTTGTCCTTTCAAGCAACGTCACCGAAGTTTAAATAACCAGGAATTAATCTAAGATGGAAGTAATCCTCTTTAAATTTTAATATGAATAATTTAAGATATACAAGCGATAAATATAAAATGAGCGTTATATCTAAATTAATAAGAATTTTTTCATTGATAAATTAATTCCATACATATGATAAAATCCTTAAAAAAATTTGAATAGAAAGTCTTAAAAAAAATATAACATTGAGCAAGTTTGGGGATATGTAGTATATCAAATTAATAATTTACTTTTTCGAAAATCGGTAGTATAACTATAAAATAATTAGGGTTGTTTATGCGATTCAGTTCCTTTAAAAAAAGTGAATTGGAATCCAGGATTAAAATTTTAAAATATATTACAATTTTCCGATTATCATGGTGACATCATGATAATAAAATAGTCGCCAAGTTTCTGAAAATAGTTAGGCCATGGCCTTGTTTTCTAGCGTTTGGGATTGGGAGTAATCATTACTAAAAACAACATTTATAAATTTTCTACATTTTAACAACATTTTTTCACTATATTACTTTCCAATTCCCAGGGACCTTCCCCCTAAACAAATGATGTTATTTTCTCCTATCAAAATCACAAAAGAAAATCTAAATTAGCATTAAAAAGCAATTTCCTCCTATCCCCCTCCTTACCGTCCAATCTCAATGAAGATTGCTTCACCCCATTCCTCTGAAGAATTTAGAAATAAATTTAGCTAATGAATATTATATAACGAATAAAGCTAACGAAAAGTTAAAAATAGGACATCAAGTAAGATCAAAATTTTGTTTCACCAAAAAGAATTAATATTTTTATATGGGCCTACACATATAGAGGTCTTCTCGGGATATCCGTAACATTACCCAAGCTCGGGTTCGGAATAAAAGACTTTATCGGGTTCAGGTAGTATTATAAAATGGCTCAATTTGAGCCGATTTTTAAAAACGGCTAACTCAATATTTTATTCAGAAAAAATATTATGCAATCCTAAAGATTTTTCTCATATATGACACAAAGGTTTGGACATCTATTAATGAAATCTCGAGGTTTAGGCAATAATTTTCTGGCTAAATATTGAGTTAGCTGTTTTTAAAAATCAGCTTAAAACGAGCCGTTTAACAACACTAGATTCCGGTCAGCTTATAAGAAGTGTCCGACCCGATAAATATCCTAAATAGTCATTTTAATTTATAATGTCAATTAAATTAACACATCATTTTTTATCTCACACTTTATCATTAAAATGTAAATCAAAATAACTGGTCATTTCAATTTATTTTGCATAACATCCGTTTACCATAATATTTTGTTATATTCTATGTTATTATTACATATTTTATTTATCATAATCTATCAGGTTATTATTACATACTTTATTTATCATATTCTATCAGGTTAATTAAAATATATTTATCATCTATTTAATTAAATATCTTCAAATTTTTAATATTTGAAATCGTTTACCAAATCTTAAATTGGTGGAAGACTTATCAGAGCGACTTCTTAATTTAAATGGTTGGATTCTTAAATTCTTTGCTTCCTCAGCTCTCAGTAAAAGTGCCATTCAACGGCTTGTAGAACCTTTGGAGATAGGAGGACTTGTTTAAAGCCTGATAACGACTCCTCATTATTTACATACCACAATTATTTACCACTATGTGATATTGTTGATGATGATATTGATATATCTTTATAAAATGTTCATTATATTAAGCACATTATTTTTATATAATCGCAATAATTTTAAAATTCGATTGTATTCGTAGAATGATGAGACTTAATGCAATTAATTTCCTTATTAGTTTGCACTTGATATCACCGTACCTATAATGTCTTTTATAAGATTTAATTTTGTACCCGATATTATATATAATTTAACTTGCTCTCCCAACAAGTACCTTAGTTACCTATGAGTATTAATGTAATCGATTTATCTTTTTATTAGCTTTCATTTGATTATTTCTCCTGAGAAATTCAATAAAAAAATTCCGTGAAAATCAAACTTTTTACCTTAAAAATTGGTCCGATTTTAAATAAAAATATCTGTGAAATTCAGTAGAAATCCTTAGAATTATTTTTTGAACAATTAAGTAAAAAGAAAATTCGGATTATTTGAGTATTTTTCATGTATATAATAACGTAAGTATCATATTTAACAATATATTTCATACATACCAATATTTCATCCCATTTTTATTTCATATAAATATTAATATCAAAAACATATTACATCCCATGATTATATATCAAAATGTCAATAAACTAAGGAAAAATTAAAACATAATCTTCTCGAAAATATATTGAAAAACGGCTATTATCCCCAAGTCCAGCAACGATTAGAAAGTATAAGATTCGCCTTACTAAATAATCTCTCAACACTAGCACCTGACCGCAAGGTAGTATTTAATATTATATACATATTTTTAATATAGGAAAAATTATCAAAAATACTCATTTGTATTTTTAGATTTAAAAAATGTGTCTAGTAATTTCAAAAAATATCAATGAAAGTCGTTTTTATGATTCTAATTAGGGCATCTTTCTTTGCTATCTCAATCATTAGTGCCTGGCGACAAAAAATTGTAATACCAGGGGATAGAGTTTTAATCATCATGAGTGATGGATTATCAATCGAACTGTATCAATTATAAAATGGACAATAACTTTATTAGCCAGTTTCTGAGATATATTGGCATGTGCAATATTATTAATCAATTTAGCTTGAATGAATAGGTCTTTTTTAATGTAGTCTATACCAAAATTATTGAGATGTTTTTTTAATCTATTTAAACTGTTGGCAATGGCATGAAAATTCTTACAAATTAAAAATACTAGTATAATTTAAAAATGACATTACATTATGAAGTCATAGCTACTAGATTTATTTGAGGATATTTTTTTTACAGTTTAAACAAATAAATTCGCAGTCACCTTTTGTTTTTACATTAATTTGAAAATATTTGGAAATAGGAAAATTTGTATTATTATCATAAACATTTTCTTTCAGGGTTAAATTTTGATTTGCCTAACTTTGATCGTAAAGTCATTTGATCGTAAATTTTGTCCATTTTTTCTGATTGGTCTATTTAATCGCGGTAAATTAAAATCATTTATAACCCTAACCCTAAATCTAACCTATAAATTAAAAAAATCGTCCATTTTGACCAAAAATGGACCATTTTACGATCAAAATAATACGATCAAAGGAGGCCCTCCCTAAATTTTGATGTTTATAGTTACATTCTTTATATCTTTAAGTGCGTTAAAAAAAATAATTGAAAAAAAAGTAGCGAGCTATTAGCTATGATAGCGGGCTACTTGTAGTGAGCTACTTTAACAACTAGCAAATTTTCACAGTTCAAGGCTTTATATTATACTGAGTTCTAGTTTTTTATTTATAGTGGGGGGGGGGGGGCGGGGGATCAAAATTTTAAAATATCTTTAGTGATTAAAATATTAAAACGATTAGAAAATAAAACAGTGGCGTTCAATTTAAATTTTTTAATTATCTATAATAATGGTAATTTTTTATTTCCTATTTAAAAAAATATATAATTTATTATAATTCACAACGTGCCAAAAAAAATATTTATTTGTATTATTTTTCTTATTTCCATGTGTATTATATTATTGTAATGTTATCAGGCGCTTAGCCAGCAGGGGGGGGGGGGTGTCCCTCTGTAACGAAAAAATGAAAATTATTTAATAATAATTTCAAAGAAATGTAAAATTTTTTCATGAATAGCAAAGTACTTCAATGAAAATGTTATATTCTATTTAAAATTAATAGCTTATTTTTAATGCTCTTGGAGGAATATCAGAATGGCTTGAACTAAATAATACGATAGCCAGTTTTTTAAATATAGGAATAAATAATTTAATTAAATAAACTACAAGATAAAATAAGATATGTTTGTTTATTTTTTTGTATATTACTTATAAAATAAGTGACGATCCGCTTATAATAATAAAAATTACATATAAATATATTTTATACCATATTGATAGCAATTTTATTTAGATTATATAGCTTTTACATCTTTTTTGCTATATTATATACGGATCATCATTTTTTTTAAAGTAATATCAAAAATATAAATACACATTGTTTTATTTTTTTTATTTGTTAAATTACAAAAATTATATTACTACCCTATCCTATTGTTAAATTATTTACAAAATAATTACAATATTGACAAAGAAATTCAGTCTAAATGCAATAAAAATCCTCCAAAAATGATTGTGTATAACTTAAACATTTATGAAGTTATTGAAAATTTAAATTACAAGACTAACCTAAATATAAATAAACATTAAAGAATTTATATAATACATGATATTAAGCGCCATTTTAGCGTTATAACAGAGTTATAGAACGCTTGATTCTCTAAGAGGCAGTGGCGTAGCTACGGGGGGGGGGTTTTCGGGTTTAGACCCCCCCCCCCCCCCAGAGCAATTAATTTTTTTTTTTTTATAATATTCGTTTAAAAGACTCAAAAGTGACTTTATATCAAATAAATACCATGAATATTTATATTTTTCTGGTTTTGATGTTTGTGGAAGGATATTATTACTTTTATATATATATAAATTATTCTGTATATTATTTTAAAGTCATTGATAATAATCTAATAAATTATAATAATATATTATTTATGCATATTTAAAAAAATATTTATTATAAATTATCCAAGATATGGTTCGAAAATAATAATATGAAATAAAAAAGTGCATAATCTACCCCCCCCCCCCCCACCCCCTCAGAGCAATTTTTTTAGATTATTCGTTCAAAAGACTCAAAAGTGACTTTATATCAAATAAATACCATGAATATTTATATTTTTCTGGTTTTGATGTTTGTGGAAGGATATTATTACTTATATATATATATAAATTATTCTGTATATTATTTTAAAGTCATTGATAATAATCTAATAAAATATAATAATATATTATTTATGCATATTTAAAAAAATATTTATTATAATTTATCGAAGATATGGTTCGAAAATAATAATATGAAAATAGTGCATAATCTACTTTCTCTGCTTTTATTTCTAATAATATATATTTGGTTTATATTTTGTAGCATTTTTATAAATGAAATTATTAAAGAGATTAAATTTATGACTAAAAAGTAAAGATTGTTATTTCCTATTTACGAACTTTAAGATTGAAGGAAATGGACATTAGAAAATATTTACTAAGTAACAAAAAAAATTTACCAGCTAATATCTCATGCAATTTATGCCCTGTTGAAAATGATAAGCATGATATAAATACACGAGGTTAAAAAATATTTAATCCAGTGTACTAATTAATATCTTATGCATTATAGGCTCTATTGAAAATAATAAGGATGATGTAAATACACCAGGTCAAAATAACATTTAATATAAAAGATATTTAAAATTAATAGCTAACTATTTTTATTTTAGAATTTAAAATTAAACACCTAGTCATAGTTTTAACTAAATTAAAATTGCCAGTACAAACCACTTTGGGTAATTTATTATTTTAAATAATTTTGGCTAACCAAAATATTTTGACATTTATAAGATATACCCAAACGTAGGAGGGAAGAAAATGATCTTGATACACTCATTTATATACCCAAAGACCATATAAAATCACTACCTAGTACAAGTAATATAATCTATTAAGATTTAAATATTTTTTTATTATAGATTTAGATATATCAAGTATTACATTTAATAAAAATGATGATAGTCAACAAAATGAACATACCAAATCACTAATTAATATAGAAAATCAAAATTTTAATGATGAACTTGATATCATAAGCAACAATTTACCACCCACATCAGGTATTTTATAATGACCTTATTTAAATGAATCACTAATTAATATAGAAAATCAAAATTTTAATGATGAACTTGATACCATAAGCAACAATTTACCACCCACATCAGGTATTTTATAATGACCTTATTTAAATGAATCACCAATTAATATAGAAAATCAGAATTTTAATGATGAACTTGATACCATAAGCAACAATTTACCACTCACCTCAGGTATTTTATGAACTTATATGACCTTATTTAAATGTATTCATTTAAATTTTAGAAATACCTAGATACTCTATAAAAAATTATGATAAAAATAAGCTAAATACACTTGATCACTTCAAATCTCTACCTAGTAAAATTAATGTTAACTATTACCTTTAAATATTTATATCATAATTTTAGGTATATCAAGTATCACATTGAAGAAGAATGATAGTAGTCAACAAAATATTATAGGCTGTATCAATTTAGAATTTAAAGGTTATCTAATATGTTGTTTTATTTTAATTTATTTTTATAGGAATATCTCAATTAATATTCACACCAAGGGGTAAAAAAAATAGTGATAACAAACAAAAAAATACACTAAGTCACAACAAATCACTATCTAATAAATGTAATGTAATCAATTACTTATTAATATTTATGCAAAGAATATGGGTGGTGACGATATGGTGCGAGGTTCGAGTCAGTAAAAATATATTTTATTAACTTTATTGACTAATTTCTTTTTCTTTTCTTAAAGTATTTATACGTTTTTATAAAATATAAATTAGAATATAAACAAATATAAAAAATAAAATAATATAAAAAAAGTAAAGTTAAACCGAAAGTTATATAAATAAGGTTACGCAAAATAATAAGTAATATAAGTTGAATTACAAAAATAAAAAGTTAAGTTGAAAAGATAAATTTGAATTCATAAAATGTAATATAAAAATAAAATTAGATTACAAAAATATATAATTATAATAACGCAACATTCTCCCTCTTCTGATAATTTCATCGGAGAAGTCATAGAGAGTTTGTTGTTCTAGAAGTTTTTCCCGTTTCGATTGTATACGGTTTCTTCTTGGTTAGCGCATAAGTCTCAAATGTTCTCGTAGGTTTGATGAAATCGTTGAACGTTATCGTTAGCTTGATATCCTTCACATTTCTCAAATTTCATAATTAATCCAGTCGAATATTGGAATTTGGAATAAATCGGAATATATAATTTGGCATAGTTGATCAAATCAAATATATGAATATGCACGAATAAAATTTTGAATTTTGGAACAATAAAATATGTAATAAGGAATGATAATTTATGTAATAAGGAATGATATTTATGTAATAAGGAATAAAATTTTAATCCAGAATAAGGAATGATAAATTATAATAATTATTATATTATTTTTAAGTTAATCATAGCGTTTTATACTTTTAGCGTTTTATGCGTTTTATATTTTTAGCGTTTTATATTTTTTGCGTTTTACATTTTTTAGCATTTCATATTTTATAAGCGTTTAATTTTTCGTGTTTTAGTGTTTAATTAATTTTTGTTTATTTTCTATCTCCCAGGTTAAAATATGCAAATAATATATTATTCACATTTCCCTCTCTTTAAATAAAATTTTAAATTTCACACCCTAATTTTAATTCAAAAAAAAAAATTCTTCATAAGATAGTTTTGAAAATTCACCACATAATTTAAATATATTTTTCTAAAATGAATGTTTTTTTTACATAACTTTTTGTCTTCAAAGCTTTTAATTTCAAAAACTTTTTATCATATTAAGTATTACTTATAAGGGTTATTTGAATCAATCATTTGATTTAAAAATTACATTTTAACATATTTAAAATTAAGTTTTATCTTCTTGTTTAGGATTTTTAATATTTTTAATTATATTTAAGAATTCATCTTTAGGTTTATGTTAATTTACAACAATTGGTCATCATTCAAGAAATCAAAAAATATCAATATTATCCATTATGATTTTACATTTTAGTAATTTTAAAAATTTATAACATGCCTTTATCCTGGCATAAAATTTTAATTTATAATACTTCTTACGTGGATTAGAATAATAAGTAACCATCATTGGTCTCACAAAATAGAATTCATAACCTATCGTTCAACTTCCATATCAGTTCTTCCTAGGTTGTCACATTAGGTTAGGTGCTGGCTATTATATTCCAGTCCAACATCCAGAGCCGGGACACCATAAAGAAAGAAGCTTTTTGCATGAAAGAACGTACTAAGGTTTGATTCTTGGTAATCTCAGTAGTTTAGGTAGTCACAATAGATAAGGTAGTCATAACATCACAATAGATAAGGTAGTCATAATAGGTAGTCATCTCCATAGGTTAAGCACAAGGTAGAGTCATAATAGGTAGTCTAAATAGAGTCATCTCAATGGATTAAGCAATCATCACAATAGGTAGTCATATAAATAGAGTCATCTCAATGTATTAAGCAATCGTCATAGATTAGATACACAATAGGTAGTCATAGAGTCATCTCAATGGATTAAGCAATCGTCATAGATTAGATGGTCATCTCAGCAGATTAGGTAGTCATCTTTTTCTAGTCCACCACCCAAAGGGCACCATGCAAAGAATAAGGATGGAGACGATGTTGCGCGAGGTTCGAGTCAGTAAAAATATATTTTATTAACTTTATTGACTAATTTCTTTTTCTTTTCTTAAAGTATTTATACGTTTTTATAAAATATAAATTAGAATATAAACAAATATAAAAAATAAAATAATATAAAAAAAGTAAAGTTAAACCGAAAGTTATATAAATAAGGTTACGCAAAATAATAAGTAATATAAGTTGAATTACAAAAATAAAAAGTTAAGTTGAAAAGATAAATTTGAATTCATAAAATGTAATATAAAAATAAAATTAGATTACAAAAATATATAATTATAATAACGCAACAATTTACATTAAAATTTTAGATATATAAAAAATCTAGGGAGAATTTAAATGGAAATGAAGTTCCACTCATGTGTATTAGTCTTATTTAAATTATATTTATTTAAAATCTTAGAAATTCCCACATACTCCAGAAAACTAAAGGATAATAGACAACCAATTATACTAGATCATTTAGAACCATCACCTACTACAAGTGATATAGTCTATTACTTTATACTTATAATAATCAAAAGTTGGTTCCAAAGCTAACATGTCATCTATGATTATTAGCCTAGGTTTCTCAATATTAATTTTAAACATCTATCATATATTGGTAAAAAAATATTGCCAACACAATTTTGATTTTTTCACTTTGAAGGATATCGACTTAAATTTACAGTTTAAAAAAAAACATTTATTTTTTAATCTATAGTTTTAATGTGTTTACTAATTATAAAATATATCATTTATAATTAAGGCAATATAATATTTATAATTAAAGCAATTTATATGTGTAATACTAATATTTATAATTAAGGCAATATAATATTTATAATTAAAGCAATATAATATTTATAATTAAAGCAATATAATATTTATAATTAAAGCAATATAATATTTATAATTAAATCAATATAATATTTATATTTTAAATAATCGCTTTTTATTTGTAAATAACTTCTAAAAGTATAATAAAATGAAACGTATATCAATAAAATTGTGTCAATGTGTTATTTTAATTAAAATTAATGGCTCAATTTTAGCCGATATGGCTAACTCAATATATTAGCCAGAAAATTTTGCTCATGGAGATACAAGTTTTATATTATTCGAGAAATCTCTAGGCTTGAACAATATTTTTTGGCAAAAATATTGAGTTAGCTGTTTATAAAAATCAGCTCAAGTCGAGCCGTTTAACAACACTAATTAAAATAATTAATAATTCTAGGACTTTTATATTATAAGAAAAACCAATATGATTTTTAAGATAAACCCGGCCGAAGGCCGAGGCTTTTATATATGGACCCCCTCTAAGGAAAATTCCTAGCTACGCCACTGCTAAGAGGGTTAAAAAAATTTTACGGGAAATAATTAAGAGAAGGTAAATAAGAAAATAGGTAAAAAAGCCCATGTCCTATTAAATACAAGTTTTTATTACTCTTATTTAATATTGTGTGAGAATCGAAACATAATAGGATTAAATAAAATAAAAAACACCAATAAAAAGATGATCACTTATAAATAAAACTACTTCTTTATCGACATTTCCAAGACTAATATATCAATATTTGAAGATTTATTATCCATTTGTACCGGAGAACCTATTTATAAAAATTCCACATGTTTACTTTTTTCAATGGAAATCCGTCCAATAGAAATCCCTCCTTCTTACGCGCTTTCTTTTTTTAAAACATATTTTATTTAAATTTATTCAATATGCTTCAAGATTATCAAGAGCATGACCACCAATACCAGCATGAATACAAGGTATTTTCACAAATTACAATTCATTCCTTTTTAAAATAAATGAGCTAATTTTTATGATTTTTAAAAATTAATTTGATATATAATATTTTTCTCTATATATAATTATATCTGTTCATATTTATATTAAAATATAAAAAATTATTAGTATTTAGTATATATAACATACTTAGAGATTTTAAATTAAAACTCATTTTTTTATTTTAATTATCTACTAGTAATAAATGATAACATTAAATCTATTTTTTAATTTATATTAGACTTAGACATAATTAGAGCTAAATCCTAAACTAAATAAAAGTTATGTTTAAAATTCCATTCAAACATATGCTTATGTAACTTAATGCTATAACTTTAATAAAGAAATTAAAATATTTTACTTATTTTTATCTTCAAAGTATTAAAATAGTGAATAAATCCTAGAGTATTTGAAATTAAAGAAATCAATTTAATCAGAAAAATTAGAATGATTATATGAATACAAATTTTTATTTTATAATAATTTAATTTTAATTATTTTAGAATAACAACTTTATGATATTAACAATTTTTCTTTTAGATGATAAACCTTTGTTTTATTTCATATGCACATAATTTAAAAATATATAGTAAAAAAAATAATATTATAAAATTTTAAATAAATTATAAAATATACAAACAATTATATAAAAAAAACTAATTTAAAAAGGAGAACATATATAAGAAATTTTTATAATGCCATTTGGCTCAACCATATCTAAAATTATTTCCCCTATTTCAGCCTAGCTGGGTAAAAAAATTTTTTGGATAGCCTGGACTGTGTTTTTTTACTTTTAGGCCTAGTCCAGATTTTTATAATTTTGATTATAAATTTGCTGTTGTAAATAATTTAACTTATGGAAGGAAAAGTTAAATAAATGATCCATATTATTATTTTTCAACTAGCTAATTGATATAATTTTCTATTTTAAAAAATTAAACTTGGTTTGTAATTTTTTTAGGCTTAGCCTAGAATTTTAAAATAATACTATTTACTCTCTAGGCCCCACTGTAGTTTTTGATCATTAGTAATAAAAAATATATCTTCAACTGACTATTGATTATTGAAATTGAAAATGGATAATTACTGAATTTTTAAAGCTTCATTAGCAAAAAAATATATGCAATTTGTTTTTATCTTAACTGGATTATCATAATGTAAAATAAATATGAATGAGATATTTTGGCCAAAAAACGTCTAATTAAATTTAACCTTGTAAATTTTTTTTACTACATTAAAATATATAAATATTTTTTAAAATAAATAATAGTTATAAATCAAAAAAAAATATTAAAAAATAAAATATTTTTTAGCCATATTTTTCTCAGTTGTATTCCTGTAAAAAATTTGTATTACCTTAAAGATGTTTATACAAATCTTAGACTTAACCTAGATTTTCCTGGAGCAGAGGTTGGGGGGGGCTTGTGAATTTTATTGGAAGGAACAAGACTCACTTTTTGCAGACCTTAAGTAACATTTTTTCCAATCATTATTTATAAATTATTAACTTAGCCTTCAAATGAAGCCTTTAGCGTTGTTTTTAATTAAAAAACATGCGTGACAAATCGAATCAGTTTTTTTTAAAAATATTAATTTTAATCAAGGAAATTAAAAAAAAGAAATGTTTATTTTAACTTTTAAAAATTGAAACCCCTTTTAAATAATTAACATTTGAGAACTTTTTTTAGTTAATTTTTATCTTTATGGTTTTTCGATATTTTTCCAGATCATTTTCGTAATTTTTTTCTTTCTGAAATAAATTGCTAAGGTCACTTTCTTACATATTAGTTTTTTGCATGCAAATTGTAGCATAATATACTATAAATTAGTGATCTGCATCGGGCCTGATTTTTCAAGCCCTGCCCGACCCGAAATTTTTTTGACAAAATTTTACCGGCCCAAACCCGAAATTATTTTTAAAAATTTTGCCGACCCGAATTTATTAAAATATAGGAATTAATTTTTTTTTTAAATTATTTATACCCAAAATAAAAGATATATATTTCATATGGTGTCTAGTTTCTATAAATAAAATAAAATATTTTTATTTAACAAATTCAAAAAATTGATAAATTTAGATATATTTAAAAAAATCCAACGCTTGACCCGACTCGGCCCTAATTTTATAAAAAATATTTTGACTATTGAAAAATAAAGATGGGCCTAGTATTGCTTTTATTTTAAATTTCTATGGAAAATACTGACCCTATAAACATAATTTTGCGTTTTTATAAATTTGTTTTATTTTTCTGTTTTATTTTAAATTTCTAGGGAAAAAAACCTACCCTTATAAACATATTTTTTGCGTATTTTTTTTAATGAATTAAATAATTGTATATAAATCAAAATTTCAATTTCCTCTTTCTATTTGATTTCCTGTTCTTAAATTTATGTTTTAATAATAAAAAGTCAGGGTACTAGCTTCCATATCATATTAGCTAATTTAGAATTTTTATAAATTTTAAAATGATAAAAACAATCATCAATCTGTTATCATTGAAATCTTCAAACATTGATAATTTTAGAAAAGTATGAAATAAAATAAAATTACCATCCCCATATTTTAGTGAAATAAGTGTCATTATACAGTAAATGTGGTGAACAATGTAAGATTTTATTCTAATTTAACACACATTGAAATTATTTTTCGGGACAAGTAAAAAAAATTTTGTTCGGGATCAGGCTGGGATTTATTATGCTCCAATTTTGAGCGATAATACACAGATTTCGAGTTCAATGCTGAGCCAATTTTTTGTCTCGCGCTCCACTGCTGAGCCAATTTTTTCGGCTATAAACTTGGCTAAGCCGTTTTGGAGTCGACTTAAGTGGAGCGATTTTGCATCACTACACACATATACGGACCTCATTTAATTTCGATATTCTAGGTTACAATCATATTGAGCAATAATTTAAATTACATTTTATTTAATATAACCTTAATAATGGTCCTTTAATTTGATATTGATATATTTATAGAGTAGAAGTTAGTTATGCACCAAAAAACCGGATTTTTTTTAAAGCATGGACCTTTTATATTCCAGGGATTTGTTTACTCTTTAAATTTGTTTTCACAACGTTTGCCATACTTTGTTATTCGTAGGTTGCTATCTAATATTATTTCACCTACATTTACTGTCAATTATTAAATTAAGCTTCCAATATATTTATAAAATGTTCAACACATGGGTGTTTTATATACTAGGATCCAAATCACAAGGCCTTAAAGGAAAACAAATTTGCTAAAACCCAACTAAAATATCATCAAGTTACTTTTACATAAAATTAATCCTTTTTTGTCCATAAGCTTTTATTGTTATAAAATTATTATTGCAACACAAGCGCCTACTGTTTTCTTTTATAAATTAAATTTTTTTAACTATATCTATAAGACCCCCTATATAATATATTTCTTCAGATGCTTAACAAAATTTGGAGGCAGGACGTCTTTTTAAACCAATATTTTAACCCTCCGGAGGTTCCGGGTCATGAAAATTATCGGCGATAATTTTTAATACCCCCCCCCCCCCTCCATCTTAGATATAACTTTAAATTTACGGTAAATTATCTTTTATAAAATTCAAATTCCAACAGCCGTATTCATTTTTTTAATTGATATATTTTGTGTTACAAAATTTAATCATTCAATCTTTTTTTAATTAAACCAATTACCATGTATTTGAAATTCCAGCAGCCGTCATCATTTTCATAATTGATAAATTGTATGTTCTTTACCGCACTAAATTTTATTCTCTTCATTATAAAATTATTAAAAATATTATTTTTGTTATATTTAAAATAAACATTTGAAACGTAAAGATCTGAGAAATATACTTCACTGATTGAAAAATATGCGATTTTGTGTAAATTTGCGATGGTTGCAAATGATCTGCTGAAATCATAAAGCAATTGAAAGAATTATTTAAAAAATTCTCGAATAAAAGTATGAAGTTAACGAATTTTATACTGGACGCTGGAAAAATAAGGAATTTTTGATGACAACTTATATGGCACGGAAAACTAAAAATTAGATCTAAATATTGTTAAGCATAGAGGGTTATGTCTATATTCCGGAGGACATTAATTATGATGGGGTTAATTTTTTAAAATAAAAACAATAGACACTTGCCAAACAAATTATTTCATATTAGTGAAAGTTAATAAATTTAAAAAATTCAAATATATAAGTTAGCGACAATGTGTTTTTTCCGGTAATATGTTATTTTTTCAACTTTAAATAATTTTTTGAGCGTGTTTTAAAAATTTTGAAAACTGATTTTACCGGAAATGTATTCCATTATGTTTGGAATACCTATCCTATAAATTTCAGACAATTTTTTCATAAACTTTTAAACTTAATATAATTTATATTCGATTCCATATATTTTATATAAATTATTAATAATTCAAAGATCAACATTAAAATTGTCTACAATTCATAAGATAGGTTTGTATTTCAAAAGTGATAGAATGGTAAAATCCAGAGTTGTTAAAAGATACTTTTTAAATGGATCTAGATACAGATACATCTTCTAAAATAATATCTAGATACAGATATTTTAATCAAAAATCTATCTAGATACAGATATTTTAATCAAAAATCTATCTAGATACAGATATTTTAATCAAAAATCTATCTAGATACAGATATTTTAATCAAAAATCTATCTAGATACAGATACAAACAACTCTGGTAAAGTCCGATTTTTAAATTTATTTAAACGAGCTTAAAAAAGGATTTAAAGATGTAAAAATAACACATTGTCGGAAAAAACACATTGACGCTAACATATACAGATTAATTTTACTTTTTAAAGGTGCTAGTTATTTCCATACTCTAAAGAGATTCTTAATGATATGCAATTGGGTTTTAAAAATTTTCTTTCTAAGGTCGTAAAAACTGATTTCGCAGGTTAGGCCCCCGATTCGTTTTGAAGCGTCTAAATCTTTTCAATGAAATGTTATAAGGCAACATGGTTTCCCCGAT